AACCCCAAAACCCCAAAACCCCAAAACCCCAGGAGGCTGATCCCAGATTGGTTCAGATTTAAGCTGAAATTAGTACGTCCTCTGAGAAAATATCTTGGATTGCTTTTATTGCAATTGGATGGTAGAAGTCTTCATGCTTGTTGAAGATTTCCTTAGCTATGGCAGCATTACTGTCAAGCATTGCTTGGTAGACAGGAATGACATATTTCATTCTTCCAATAGATCCAACAAATTCATCAGCAGATTCGAATGGAGCTCTAAGCTGACCACTTCTGATTGCTACAATTAGCCATCTGAATACGACTTCTCCATTGATCTCATCGCCGAGTTGGAGAGTATCATAGATGTACTGAGCCATACAGTCATCTACAATTTCTTGGTTATCGATGAGGTGGCTGATAAAGAGACCTTTGAGGTTAACAGAGAAACTTTTGAATATTTGGAGAGCAGAGGTCGCATTGGCCTTAGCATCTAAGAAACTCTGAGCAAGTTCTATTGCATCATTGTACTCCTTTGTTTCAAAATCAACAGTAATCGGAGGAAGTCCTGGAGCATATATCCAAGCATCAAAATCAATTTTGGATAAGATTTTTTCAGCATCAGTCGTAGTGAACTTCTGGTGTACGTATTCACTAAAGAACGAGATGAAATTTGTGACATCTATGCTAGTATAAGCGAAGTTTTTGAGGTATGATCTTAAGAATTCCAACATATAATCTTCTCCGATTAGAGATTCCAGATAGATCAGGAATTGGAATCCTTTTTCATAAGGAATATCTGAAAGAGCTTCATCTGGATGAGTCCCGTTAAATACAGGATGAAGGCTGGTGAATCCATTGTCTAATCCATAATCTAGGATTTCGAAGTACACAGTTTGGTTCTCAAGCTTTGCAGTTACTTTCATAAAATCTTCTCCAAAGATGTTCCTGACTGTTTTTCTCTCAAGGAAAGTTGTAAATCCTTCGTTCAACCAAAAGTTCGTCCAATTGTTATTTGTGACCAAGTTGCCAAACCAAGAGTGAGCAATTTCATGAATAGCAACATCAACTGACGATTTATCACCAGGAACAATAGCTGGTGAAGCAAATGTTAAAAGAGGGTTCTCCATGCCTCCAAATGGGAAGGATGGTGGAAGAATCAGCAATTTATATACTCCCCATTCATAAGGAATGGTCAACCTTTCAGCTTCACTTAGAAAATCTTCTAGTTCAGAAAATTCATTGGCAACTTTTTCGATTTCTTCAGGCTCAGAAATCACAAAAGTCCTGTTTCCAATGCGACGCTCAACCAAGTTACCTGATGCGATAGCAAGCAAGTAGGATTGAACTGGGATGTTCATCTCGAAGGTAGAGTACCTACTCATGCAATCTGTGTAGTCATAAGTTATATTTCCGCTGACTCTTGTGACGAATTCAACATCAGTAGTCGTGTTTACAACATAAGTTGATTTAATACTAGGAGTGTCTTGGAAAGGAGCAAGAGATCTAGCATGGATAGATTCAGACTGAGTGAACATGTAAGGAAGCTTCTTTCCAGAAGTTTGCTCAGGAGTGAGCCAACTAATAGCCTCTGCAGTTGGAGAAGTCTTGTAGCTAATAACAAATATGTAATTTTCTTTCCCTCTTTGGTCGCTTGGGATGAGAATAGTCAAACGTTGCCCTAAAATTGGATTTGGGCTGTCGATTTTGTACTCAAAGTTATTCGCCTCTTCATCTTCAATTGAATAAATAGTAAGATCATTAATATCAAGATAAACTTCAGCCAAGTCTTTATTAAGTGATTTCATATGTAGAGTCTGAGTTCCACTAAACACTTTTCTTGAGAAATTAATGTCAATATCTAAGACAAAGTGCTGAGTTTGAATCTCATTAAAATTCGAGAATGTAGCTTCATCTATACCAAATTTAACCTCATCCAATCATGAGCTTACCTATTGCATGACTTGCAAGTGCAGTTCAGGCTAAAATGGATATCAACAGAACAGGTTTCAGGTGATTATGCATTTTGTTAAATATTAATTTTAAATACCGAATCAAAATATTTATATAATCTCGGGGTTTTGGGGTTTTGGGGTTTTGGGGTTTTGGGG